TTGCACTGCCACGGCCACGTCCACGACCCGCACCGCCTCGGCCACCTCGTCCCCTTCCCCTGCCTCGCCCTCGAGCGGCAAGAGTCTTAGTGCCGCCAGAGCTGTCAGCGTCCTCGTCATGAGGCTCGTCACCTGAAGCTTCCTCATCATCGGCATCATAGTCATCTGGGGCACTTTTTTTGCCCTTGCCTCGCCCCTTGCCCTTCTTCTTCGACTTGGGCACGGCGCCCGAAATCTGGTTCTGCTCTTCCGGGCTCATAGCTGGAACCGGTGGAACTGGGCAGGGAGGCAGTGCCTTAGATGTTGTAGGCCAGGCGATGTTGTAGGCTAGGCGACAAGCAAGTAACAAGTAGCCACACTCCACCACGATTAGGATATAAGCTTGAGTCTACCTATGTACAGCAACACAAACCCCAGGCCCTAGTAACAATGTTCAACTTGGGGGGCTTCTTGGTTCTTGTCCGAAACCTCAGCGACCTCACTCTCAACGGCGTTGGCAGTACCCTCTGGAGAAGTAGCAGGCCCCGAAATCTCCACCACGGTAGGAACAGCCGAAGTCTCCACGGTAGGACGGGTAGGAACAGCCGAAGTCTCCACGGTAGGAACAGCCGAAGTCTCCACGGTAGGAACAGCCGAAGTCTCCACGGTAGGAACAGCCGAAGTCTCTATGGTAGGAACAGCCGAAGTCTCCACGGTAGGAACAGCCTGCGAAGTCTCCACGGTAGCAACAGCCTGCGAAGTCTCCAAGGTAGGAACAGGCCCCGAAGTCTCCACGGTAGGAACAGGCCCCGAAGTCTCCACGGTAGGAACAGGCCCCGAAGTCTCCATGGGAGCAGGTTCTGAACTCTGCACAGGCGATGGAGGTTCCACCGGCATTGGCAACGTGTCCATATCATCAGTACCTAAGTGACACTATAAATTTAACACTAGCTATGTAGCACCATATCAGATCATTACCGAATGTGTGACAATCATGCATATGCAAATTACAAATCAACCCACCTAAGCGAACCCAGGCACTCACACATACGTGCACACATGAAGCATGAAATCAGATCCCAGACACATACACACACACAGACAAACACAAACACTTAATTGTAAATGGTCAGAAATGGAGAAGCCGATACGATCCTAAACCCCGAACTTTGTTGGCCGTCGACTAGGGGTTAGGGTTTAGGGTTTAGGGGTTTAGAGGTTTAGGGGTTCAGGCGTACAGGGTTTGGGGTTTAGACGAGTGCCCGTGAGCATCATGCGTAGCACGATGAAGCACACAGTCAGGTTGCACATAAGGCATGGTACACACATTGCCCAGGTATGTTTGCCTACTTGCACAGCTCACATGCTAGCTGTATCGTGTCCATATATACACACACATGGACACATCGCCATCGTTTCTCATGTAGACATAGACGTACTCGTTGTATCAAGCCACGTGTGGGTGCATGCATTTTCGTGTGTGTGTGTATATGAGATATATACACATCACATCCACAACCGATAGCTAAAGAATATATGTATGTGCATACACATGTGTATGTACATACATGATATAACCATATGTGAAACATGATGAGCACAAACCATGCATATCATAATGATACCTAAATATAATACATATATATATATATATATACAGATGTACATCTTTGCATGTATGTATGTACATATCTATGTATGTATATTTGTTTGTTTGTGTATAAGTATATAAGCACACAGGCATATTTGTACATTTATAGATGTATATATGCATATGTATGTGTGTGTTTATGTGTGCATGCATGCGTAATCTACAGAAGTCTGATCTTTCTACATTCCGATCCCGTGCAAGCCCCTGCAATCTCAGGCGCCGAACGGCATGGGCGGCACAACCGCCGATGTATCTGCTGCGGAAAGCAGAGAATCTGACGACCCCCGTGGCACAATGGAAATCAAAGGCTTCTTGGCGATCTTGTTCCCCGGGATCACGGGATCTGGAAATAAAACCCTCGGACTTGGATTTGGAGTGCTGGAACTTTGTGGGCTCGAACTTGGCTCGGTGGGCTTTGGGATCTCTGGGGTCAGCTTCAATGGTTGCGGGGCCTCTGAGCTCGAGTCCAAACCATCACACACAGCTTTGTAGCGAGCAGCCTTAGCCTTCTCTAGTTCCAGGGCCCTCTGCTCGTTAAGGAGCCCTTGAAGCAACAGCTCCTCAGCATCGAGTTGTTGGAGCAACGTTAGCTGTTCCAACTCAGCCTGCGTAGCGTGCAACTCGGCCAACTCTTCGGCCATGAGGCGGTCAGCCTCCTCCTGATGAGCCCTAGCGATCTCCTTGTCACAAGCAGTTTCGTCCTCGTCTTTGACAGTCGCAGTCGGGGATGGCTCCCTGGTGGTCGCCGTCGGGGATGGAGTGCATGCTTTGCTTTTCACATACTCTAAGTCCCCGATCAAACCACATATGAGGCACTCCACACCACGGGCTCTGTTCTCGTGCAAAAACTTTACCGTGTAATGCTTGCCCTCGGACTTGCATTGTGACATAGGAGATAGCGGCTCACCTAAGGAATACTTGTGCAGATCTGTCATTACTGCTCGCATGCAACAACATGGACCCGTGAATATCACCAGCAAAGTGGCGCCGAGGAGGCGGTGTCTTGATCGGCGGGCTCCCGGACGAAGAAGAACCTGGGCATCGGATTGATATGGCTAGCTTGGCTAAGTATTTAAACTTATAGCACAAACCGACAGTGGGAAGCCCAGTAACCATCCGATGGCGAAGGCAGCACAGGCTTCAAAGTGCTGGGTTTTGGGGTGGCTGCAGGCGGATCGGATCTCGGCTTGGTGCTCGGGGGTATGGCTTCAGGATCAGCAGCAGCAGGCCTTTTCGCAGCTCGTACGAAAGGGGCTGCCACCTGGGACTGGGTGGTCTAGTTATTCAGGTTGCTAGCTAGTGCATTCTCCTGCAAGTCATATTGTAACTCATAAGTAAGTCGGGCACCGTTGGATGCTCTGTGCCTGTGCTCGAAGACGAATCTGAGCTATCACTTCCCTCATCTTCTGAAGAGGAGCTGGTACCGGAAGGTTCCGAGACTTCCTGTGGATCGTTGCCTTAGACTTATGCCATGGTAATTGCCCAGGCCAATCTCCAGAAAAAAAGTTTACATCAAGAACAGAGCATATTTGAAAACCCAGGCACCCAACATACCAACTGCTCGCATCATCGAACGGAACTCGTGCGATCGCGGAAGATGCGGTCGTTTGGCCGCTCTGGAGAAAATGCATATCAGCCTCCGCAGCAGCCATCCCTGGGTCTTGAGCGTGGTGCCTCATGGTGTGGGTCGGAATTTCGATCATGTACATACTCGAACTAGCAGCTAGCAGAACACTGCATGCTAAGTTTGATATTGGATGGGTCGAGTTGCTGCTTGGTGCTGGAAGATGACCCGGTCGGCAGTTTGCGTAGAGGCGGTGCAAGTACGTGCAAACCAAGTCAACCGAAGGACGGAGGCCTTAAAATCACATTGGAAACACGATCTATCGACAGGCCTTGTAGTGTACATGATCCCGAAATGTAGTCAAGCAGCCCACGAGGTTGATAAACGGGATAAGAAGTTCTCTGTTATCAACGCATGTCCTCCTAGTGAGCTTGCCCGAAGAAATCACGAGGAGCTCTTTCTTCAGCAGCCGCTGAAGCACAAACTGGCTCTGAGACCAAGCACTCAAAACGGGGCACTCGGAAGCCATCGTCGCAGCTCGACAAAGCACACAAATGACTATTAATTGTCACAGACATGAACCGAATCTCAAAGGTTTGTTGTGATAACTCTGAGGCACCTCTATGTGTTCGGCAGCTAGTGTCACCTGATCGTGTGTACCCTACCGACTTTCCTAAGTGGACCCTACACCAAAAGCTGAGCCCAGCAACTCGGCAGATCAGTGGTTGATCCAAATTAAAGAACAGCACATGGTGAGATAACAGAGCCGGAAAGGCCACCACAATCATCGGCCACTGACGAAGCCGCCATGCGTACCTGCAAGCTGGAATCCCAGCCCACTCAGGAATCTCGACTACTTCATTGCCCTGGCTATCTCATTGCCCTGGTCGACAGCATATACATACATACAGAACATGCACATTACTCACTGGGGGGAGGCGCACCACCAATCAGCAGACCCAGGGCCCAAAGCAATGCGAGCCCAATGGCTGTGGCCACCGGGATCACCCGAGTTTGCTCACGATGATTAGGGGTAAAGCTTCAAGATTAGGTGGTTTAGGGTTAGGTTAGGCAGCCCAAACCCGGATCAAGAGACCCGAAATCGAAGAATTGCTCGCACCTTGTTGCTTAAAAACGAAAAGCGCGCGAGAGAAAGCAAAAGCGCTCGCAATTCAGGCTTCAAACCGCAATACACGAGAAACTGTATCGAAAGCCCTTCGGGCAGAATTAACTGTTACAAACGGCGGTCCAGGTAAACCCCTAAACCCTAAACCCATTCCGTTGAGGATCCACGCCGGCCCCGAATATTGGGGTTTTGTAGCCGGGTTTCAATGAGGGTGGTTGTAGATTTGACAAAGGTTACTTAGTGTTGTTGAAGAGTTTCTTGAGGGATTCTTGTTTTTTGCAGGGGCTATTTAGTGTTCTTGAAGAGTTTCTTGAGGGATTTCTTGTTTTTTGTAGGGGGACGCCTCATTCAGGTCCTGGGAGGACTGATCAGTCTAGGTAGTCCACACTATGTTGCGGCCCGTCACATTCTTAAACTCCCACTGTTGAGCTCGAGGCATTCGTGTTCATTTAAGTTGTAAGTCGTTGGGGGTCCTTAGAGGAACAGTTAAGGGAACACCAAAGCTTAAACCGAAAAAGCCAGTGTTGAACCCTCCAAGGAGCAATTGAAGCAACCCGTAAACTCCGCACCCGAGGCTCTAAACTCTATAAGCCCTAAACCTTAAGCCCTAAGCCCTAAACCCTAAACTGAAAACCCGTACCTTTATGAAGTCCTCGCGCCCAAGCCTTTGAAACACCGAGGCTTCGACCAGATGAATTGGCAGGGAGCCCAAGATCTGCTCACGGGCAGTTACTAGTGGGGTTACAAGTCCCCTGATATGGCTTAGAAGTGTAGTTACCCGACTTATAACCCTACTTATGACTACCCATGAACCTCCCAGCGAGGGGGGTTAGGGTTCCGTAAAAGGGTTTTAGAAGAGCCTTAATAGGCATTTAGGGGTCCGTAAAAGGGTTCTAGAAGAGCTTCGAGGCGTTTAGGGGTCCGTAACAAGGGTTCTAGAAGAGCCTGGGGTTCCGTGAAGAGTTCTATGAGGGCTCTAGGGATTCAGGGTTCCGTAAACGGCTTGTAGAAGAGCCCGTTTGAGGGATTAGGGTTCCATAAGATCTATACGAGCTGTAGGGATCTCGGATTCCTTATAGATTCTAGAAGAGCTTCAGGCTTTCAGGTGTTTTGAAAAAGCTCTATGGAGCTTGAGGGACTGAGGGTTCCTTAGAGGATTCTAGTTGAGGCTTTGGGAATTAGGGCTCCGAAAGGGTATCCTATAAGAGCTCTAGGGATTCAGGGTCCCTTCAAGGCATGAAAGTGTTAGGATGTCAGGGTTCTTTAAAGGGTTCTACACCCAGACCTTCCAAAATCCCTTAATTAAGGAATGTACCTTAAACTAGAGTAGGATCCCTAATATGATTTAAAGAATATTCCTTAATTAAGGGATTTTGGAAGGTCTGGGCAAAAGCCTTTACGCTCAAGGTTCCTTGACGGGTTCTTTGCAAGTGTCAGGGATTCAGTGGTTCCTTAAAGGGTTACAGACGAGCTTCAGGGATTTAGTGTTCCGAAAAACGCGCCTTAGCTTTCGGGATAGATCAGAACAGATTGCCCTTTGACCTTGAACCCTAAACCCCTAAACCCTATCCCACTTGTCAAGACTCACGTCGTGGGAGACGACTTGGAAAAGGGCCAGGGAGCATGATTGGGCATGATGGGGCCGAAGAATAGAAGCCCCTTACAGGTAGGTAGTTCCTCTTCCATAGTACTCCCATAAGACCCCCTTTACTTTATTGGAGTGGTAGGTATGGGAGGCTTATGGGAAACTACCCACCTTATAACTACCCACCTGTAAATGTCTTAGAAAGAAGCTCTGTCCAAATCCTCTTCCAAGTTCAATCGTATCAGGCTGAGGCTCGATTTTTTTTTTGTTTTTGTAACGGGTTCCTGCAAGGGTTTGTAGAACAGTGTAGTCTAGGGTTTGGAGGAGTGGAGTTTGGGTTTGGGAAGTTAAGATTTTTGGGAATGCTGACAAACGGTTGATGATAGAAATCCTGCATTACCTTAGAACCCTAAACTATGGGAATTATGGTATATTCCTTATTTATGGGTAATGCAGGATTTAAATCCTCAACTCTAAACCCTAAACCCTATAGATCCCTTAAAGGTACCCCTTAAAGTAACCGAAGTACCGGGAAAGGGCAGAGACCCCACACCTCACATCCGAATCTTGAAGTGCAGCATGAGGCTGGTTCGAGCAAAGCCGATCCATGCAACCGAGAGGTGTTCCTCGGACTGCTTTGGGTTTAGGGTTTAGGGTTTGGGGGTTTGGGGTTTAAGTGAACTGGAGTGTCAAGGGCTGGGCTTTTTGTGGTTGTGGGGTGGAGCTTGTGCTTGGAGATGTCTGTGTTTACTTCCAGGGTGTAGATTGTCCACTAATTACTGCTATTACGACTACTCCTGCTACTACTACTACTACTACTACTACTACTACTACTACTACTACTACTCCTGCTACTACTACTACTACTACTACTACTACTACTACTACTACTCCTACTACTACTACTACTACTACTACTACTACTACTACTACTACTACTACTACTACTACTATATACTACTACTACTACTACTACTACTACTACTACTACTACTACTACTACTACTACTACTACTACTACTACTACTACTACTACTATATACTACTACTACTACTACTACTACTACTACTACTACTACTACTACTACTACTACTACTTTACTACTACTACTACTACTACTACTACTACTACTACTACTACTACTACTACTACTACTACTACTACTACTACTACTACTACTACTACTACTACTACTACTACTACTACTACTACTACTACTACTACTACTACTACTACTATACTACTACTACTACTACTACTACTACTACTACTACTACTACTACTACTACTACTACTACTACTACTACTACTACTACTACTACTACTATAATACTACTACTACTACTACTACTACTACTACTACTACTACTACTGCTACTACTACTACTACTACTACTACTACTACTACTACTACTACTACTACTACTACTACTACTCCTGCTACTGCTGCTACTGCTGCTGCTACTACTACTACTACTACTACTAGTACTACTCTTACTAGTACTACTGCTACTACTATTACTACTCCATTACTGCTCTTATTATTGCTATGGCTATTACTATTCCTGTTGCTATTGCGGGGCGTTCCGTTCGAGTTCAGGGCTTCGGGTTTCGGGTGTTGCGTGGAACGGGTCTTAGGTTACTCTGGAGTCTAGGGGATTGGGGTTTAGGGTTCAGGGTTTAGGGTTTAGGGTTTAGGGTGTAGGGTTTAGGTTTGAGGGTTCAGGGTTCAGGGTTTAGGGTGTAGGGTTTAGGTTTTAGGGTTTAGGGTTTAGGGTATAGGGTATAGGGTTTAGGTTTCAGGGTTTAGGGTTTAGGAGAACTGCAGATTTTTCCCAAGGCTTCACAGCTTACGAGCGTCAGATCTGTTGGGCTCAGGCATAAAGGCTGAATGGACCCCAAAGCCGGACCCTCAAGGACCCTAAACTCAAAGGGGAGAAGGAGGGACCCTTAATGGGGCCCCTTTAAAGGGATCTATAGGGATTCTATAAGGGTATAGGCTTTAAGGTTTAGGGTTTGGGGGTTTGGGGGTTTAGGGGAAAAGGAGGGACCCTTAATGGGGACCCCTACCCTATAATGGGCTATATGATGGGTATATAGTAGCTATATTAAGGGTTTGTACCTGGGGGTCCTTATTAAGGGTCCCTCCTTTTACCCTTGGATAAACCCTAAACCGGTGTTGGGGATCTAGGGCCTATCGGATTCAGTCTCAGACTAGCTTGTAGACTTGGGCGGCCATCCTGATCGCAGAGCAGGCTTTCAAATTCTGTCCGCAGAGGGTCAGAAGCAAAAAAGGTATCCCGCAAATACCCACTACTGTGGGCCATCAGGCCTCTATCTAAAGGGCTTTAAGGTGGTCCTGGTAAACCCTAGACCCTATAAAAACTCAATAAACCCTAACAAACCCTGAACCCCTAAGCTGAGGCTGGGATTGGCGCAACCCTCACCTGGACATCGCAGGGACCCTCCGAGCCCCTGAGCGTTCAATCGAAGGTTTCAGGTTTTGGGTTTTAGGGTTCAGGGTTTGGGCTTTAGAAGGGCTAGGTTTCATCATCACTGGGCTGTATTGCCAAATTGAGTCAGTAGGATATCCTCCATCTACGGAGCCCTTTGATCCAAATTTCCGGACCCCGTCCCCCCCCTCCCTCCCTGTGGAGAACTCCTAAACCCTAAACCCTAAACCCTAGATTCAAGCCTTGAAGGTTTCAGGCGTCGGACCTTCCAAGTCTGGGATTACCCTACTTGGAGGGTCGGGGGACTTAGTAAGTAGGGGCTCCTTTAAAGGGGATTCTAAGGGTTCCATTGAAGGGCTCTATAAGGCTATAGGGTTTGGGGTTGAGGGTTCAGGGATTTAGTAAGTGGGTAGTAAGTAGACGTATAAGTACCCTAAAAGGGACCTTAGTTGGGGTTATGGTACTTATAAGTCCCTAAAATTACCAGTTACTAAGTCCCCCGACCCTCCAAGTAGCAGTCCAAGGGCCCTTGGGCAGGTAGCAAAAACCATTGAGAGCTAGTCTTCGGGACCTAAAGCCCTTCTATTTGCCTGAAGTGCGGCTAAAATTTCGGGCTTGGGTGCATCCTGCTTTTTAGTGTGGGAATCTTTTTGACTAGTTTCAAGACTTCAATGGTTTGGAGTTACGGCCTCGTGCGGCTATGAATTGATGTCAACGGGCGTTGATACTGCATTCCCGCACGGCTTTGTGATGTGAGGCAAGAGGGCGGAGCTACAATGGATACCCGGTGTCGGGCTCCCAGATGTTCGCGTTGTGAAAGATAGCTTCAACCTAGACGAGGTCCCCCAGCGACACTCTCAGTGTATTTTGGGTCTTTTCGTACGAAAAAGCAACTGTTCTGGGGATACTGCAAAGCCTTGTAGAGCCCGGTTACATACTCAGAAGCTTTTGGGCTTTTCCCTGGGTTTTTTCGATATTGCTGCGGCACAGGTACCCTTCGCATAGACAGGTAGTCCGGCCACTGTTACTCAGGAGACTCAGGTAGGAGATTACGTGACAGCGTGGGAGCCGCAGCTAAGAACCCCTTCTAAATCCGTTGAATTGCCATCGCCTGCACTATACAATGACGTCCCTGCAAGCTGCTGTCTATGCAAGGGAGTGACATCTACATCTTTGTCGGCAAGTTTGTGTGTTTGTGATTTACCCGAAAACCCTAGTTGTTCAGGTTCCTCCACTATGGTTGAAGAGCCCAAAACCTAAGCCCTACATCGCATGTGCGGGCTAACTAGATGCTCTTTGGATGTCTCCATTGCAGGATCCAGCTCAATATAGGGGCCTTGACAATCGAAACACGGGTTTGGTGGTATATTGTAGTGCAATACTTGGAGGGTCGCGGGACCTAGTAACTGATTATTTTAGGGACTTGTAAGTGCCATAACCCCAATTAGGGCCCATTTTAGGGTACTTATAAGTCTACTTACTACCTACTTACCACTAAGTCCCCCGACCCTCCAAGTTCTGGACGGCCCGTACTTGGGAGATCAGCACTTTCAGGTGTTGCTTTCGGGGGTCTAAACCCCACCCTATGGCCTAAACCCCTAAACCTGTGAGTACGGTGCCGTATGACCCCAGTCACGAGGTTGAAGAAGGAACTCTCCGAGACATCGACTTCCAAAACTACGAGAGCTTGTGCCAGCAGTGGAAGACAGGTGCAATCAGCAACAGTCCTCACCTTTGGTTAGTAGGGAATGGAAGAATGGTAGTAATAGTAGTGAGAATTGGACCCCATTCCTCCATTCCCTACTAACCAAAGGTAAGAGTCGGGGCGTGGAACTCGGAGGTGCCAACCTGTTGGACCTTACTTGGAGGTTCATGGGTAGTTGTAAGTCCCCCCTAATATGGGTTATAAGTATAGTTACCCTGCTTATAACCCTACTTTTTTGCTAAACATGAGCCTCCAAGTATGGAGAGGCAGCGCTTGTTGGACCTGGAGGACACGCAGACAGTGGGTGTACACGGGCCAGAAGAACCCTAACCCTAAACCCTAAAGAGGATGTCCGGGGGCCATGTTGGGTACCGGGTACGAGGAGGAATCGCTCCAAGGAGCTGGAAAAACACCGTCGGAAGAACTGCTGGACCGAGCCTAACTAGGCAGGGCTTTGGGACATTTTATATTTTCCCTTATTGGGCTTAAGAGGATCTTATTTACAAGTATTTTTCAGAGGCTCTAAAAGCCCCACCTAGCTAATATAAAGGGGCCTAAATAATTACCTATACTATGTTGGGGGTTCCTTATAAATTATAATATAATGGGCCCCAAAACCCTATTCTAATTATTAAGGCCCCTACATTATTGTGATCTGGCACCGTTGGAAGAGGAGTGAAACAGGGTGATCCTTGGCAGCTTCGCGAAGCTCACACAGTTCATGAAGGGTGACGAGGGATATGAAGATGTGAGTGGTTACGGTTCTAGCTGATACCAGGCTTGGCCGACTTGCCTGTCTTTAATAGGCTTCCGGATGCCCAGACTTCTTTGCAGACGGAAGAAGGCGCTCAAAAAAAGCCTAAACCTCAAACCCCGAGCCCTAAACTTTAAACCCTATCACCGTAAACCTTAAACCCTAAACCGTGTAGATCCCTAAGGTTCCTTACAGGAACCCCCTTAGATCCCCTAAACCCGAAACCCTAAACCCTGAACCCTAAACCCTAAACCCCTGAAGCCCTAAACCCTAAACCCCTAAGCCCTAAACCTGAGACCCTAAACCCTTAACCTTGGTAAGGCGCTGGAGGCACCACTGACGGATTCAACTCTCCGGGGCACCACATCTAAGCCTCACACAAACCGTGATAAAAGGGTCCGTTTAGGGTTTAGGGTTCTTATATAGTAGAATGTAGGGTTTCTATATTACGAATTACTATTCTGATTTGGGGAAGTATCCCCCATAATCTCATCTGAGCCGCAGAAAGCCCGAAAGTAAGCTTTAACGCGCTGAAACCTTAAAGCCTGAACTCATCCAAGTTTGAGGAAAGCCCGATATGAGCATAATCCCAAACTCACTTAAACACTAAAGCCTCAACCCTACACCCTAGCCGCCCCTGCCGAAACCCTCTAGATCCCTTAAAGGAGCGCTGAACAGGAACCCAATAGATCCCCAAACCCTAAACCCGCAGCCCTCAACAACAAGAACCCTCAGGTCAGCCGGCTACTTTGGTTCCTAACCCCTACACCCTAAACCCTATAGATCCCTTAGAGCAACCCTGATCCCAAAACCCTCAGGTCAGCCGGTTACTTTGGTTCCCTAAACCCTAAACCCTATAGATCCCTCCCAAAAGAACCCTCAGAGGTCAGCCGGTTACTTTGGTTCCTACTCCTTGGACGGCCTGGCCTTAGCTCTTTGGTCCGCCGGAGCTCCCAGCCAAGAGCTCCTTCGGGGTTTCGGGTTCAGGGGTTAGGGGTTTGGGGTTTAGGGTTTAGGGGTTTGGGGTTTGTGGTTTAGGGGTTTGGGGTTTAGGGTTTATGGTTTAGGGTTTTGGGTTTTCCAGTTTAGGGGATCTATAGGGTTTCTGTTAAGGGCTCCTTTAAGGGATCTGTAGGGTTCAGGGCTTAAGGTTTAGGGCTAGAGGGTTTAAAGATTAGGGTGGAGGGTTTGAGGTTCAGGCTTTTGGGTGTATGCGCTTCCTGTTTGCTGGTCAAGTCTGTGATAGAGATCATCTCTAGTCTCCAGGTACTTAAGTGGCTTGCATGGCTTCTTTTCGGAAGGTTTTGACATTTTTTGGCTTGTCATGCGGACTTTGGGTTTTGATCGCCGAGTTTCAATAAGTTTGCAAAGGCTGAGTCATAAGTACACTTTCGGAAGTAGTGAAATTCGATTCCACGTGCGGGAGCAATGTCGTCATCCAGCTCCAGCTCAAGCTCAAGTTCAAGCTCGTCCTCTTCGTTGGCTGAGGCTGAGCCGGGCAGGCCCACGGACTGTTGCAGTCATTCATTCTTGTCATTGTTGTCCCTGTGACTGCATTGAGACAGCGAAGGAAAAAGCCGAACCCGGCAAAGAGGAAGGCCAATAGGAAACGCAACGCCCAGGAAGAGGAGGATTTAGATGGCTCTACCAAGGGCCTGGAAACGACATCTTTTCACGATTGAGTAGACCCAACAGCTTGAACCTTAAAGCTACAATGGAGATCATAGGTAGGGTTTCATGTGGTGTTTGTAAGATGCTTTATTGCAGCTCCCTTGAGTCACACTTTACATAGCCGCAGCGCTGTGTACAGTTACAACGCATTGCGCTATCAACAGCGGGTTTGAGGATAGGTTTGCGGATGAAGGTCGGGGCATGGGTAGTTCTGAGCGGGGGTTGGTGGGCCCTGCTTATAGTAACTCTACCATTTTCACCGGGGTCATCTGTTATGACCCATACTACTGCTGATGGACAAAATCCTGCATTACCCATTACAAGGAATATACCATAATTACCATAGTTGAGGGTCCTTAAGGTAATGCAGAATTCTGTCCATCGGCAGTAGGGACAATAAGGCACTCTTCTCTAGCTTGAACCGTAAACCCTGAACCCTAAACCCTGAGCCTCCGCGTGGGTCTTCTGAAGTGGGTCAGTTCTTTTGGGGCTCAGGGTTTCGGGCTTCAATGCTACTGGGAATTGCGGCCATTACGATTTCCAGTTTCTGCCCAAACCTGGTCCTAAACTCGGCTTAGGGCTTTGGGTTTAGGGTTTGAGGTTTAGGGTATAAGGGTTTAGGGTTAAACCTTAACCTTAAACCGTAAACATCCAGCCTTTCTGAGCGATGGTTGCAGTACAGCTTTCAGAAGCAGAAAAACGCCGCATCCCGAAGTCCTTTTCTGTGTTATGTCATTTATGGGTAGTTATAAGTGGGATATGAAGGGTCGCTATAGCTAGGGCCCACCTTAGGGACTGATAACCACCACTGAAGAAAAAGCAGAGCAAGAAAGCGAAAACCCGAAACCTCAACCCCTAAACCCCCCCTAAACCCTAAACCCTTGAACCCTAAACCCCCGGTCCTTCACGTGGTGAAGAAGCGAGGCACAGAACAAGCACAGCGAGAAAGCTTTTAGATCTCTACAAAATCCAGAGATGGCTTAGAGCTTAGGGTGCGGATTAGGGTTTAGGGTTTAGGGGTTTGGGGGTTTAGGGTTCAGAGTTTAGGGTCCAGAGTGATAGCTTTAGGGTCCTAGAATGTATGCCCAAAGGTCTACAATTCCTCCTCCTTTAATGAAGCCGTGGTCAAGTCCGTGAACCTCCTTGGGGACGCGGCGCGGGTGCCCGGGGGCTGGCGTCAGAACAACTCTAAAGCCCTAAACCCTGTTTGGGGGGGCTCTATGAGTTCCCGAACCTACCTGTAGTCTCCATGGTAGTTCCTTTTTGTTGAGGTTACCTTTTAGGATCCTTAATTTGAAACGCTGCGCGTCGTCCGCCTCGGCCCGGCTGTACGCGCATGCGGCGAGTGGCTAATATCTGCAGCAAGCTCTTGTAGGAAAAAAGTAACAGTTGGAATCGCACTTATAGTAAAAGTAATGTTCATAGCAACACGAAGCAGGATGATTGTGAGTAGTATTAGTAGTGGTAGTATCAGTACGAATTTTGGTGTCGTCATTCCGAAACACTGGAGTTCAGGTTTGAAACTCCCTTGGTACTGCAGCCTTAAAGTCGAGCCCCAAGAGATAAAGATGCTACATTACAGTTTCGTGTCGTCGGAAATTCCCAGAAAGCTCGCACCTGTCAGCGAAGGGGGGAGGGGCGGGAGGGTGGGGGAGGAGGGGAGGCGCGTCGTGCTTTCGGGTGCAGGTGTTGGGCTTTGAAAGCTTTTCAGGCTGGCGTTAGGGTGTAGGATTAGGACTCCCTTGGTACTGCAGCCTTACAGGCGAGCCCCAATTTTTCAGGCTGGGGTTGGGGTGTAGGGTTCGGAATTCAGGACTCGCTTGGTGCTGCAGCGCGAGCCGCAACACATAAAGATGCTACTCGCACCTGTCAGCGAGTGGAGGAGGGGCGGGAGGGAAGGGGGGAGGGGGGGGGGGAGGGGGGGGGGGAAACCATAAACCTCTAAAGGGGTAGCTCTAACCGGTACCTACAGCAATGGCTGCATGCTCATACATATACATTCCGCTGCCCATTGGCTCACAGTGGTTTTACCATATTAAGACAAGACAAGCTCTCCTTGCGTAGCAAGACAAAACAACTACTGTCCGTGTGCAGGGCGCTGCCCTTTGATCCTTAGGGAATAACTGGTCATACCCCTCCTAACAAGGAGTATTCCTTGTGGGTGTATCGGCACAGTTTTCTGGTAGCGGAGCCCGGAAAGGGCCGCCCGCCTCACAAAGTCCGCTACAGCGGTCGGCCTCGCCGAACGCTTGACCAAGCGGATAAGAGGCAGCACAATGTCGAGCTCGCATAGCGAAGCCGACGGCAGGTCCCAATCCTCCGGGGGATATGAGAACGAAGAGACCTCCCAAGGTCCAGCCACTTATGTCGCACAGTCATTTGCAACATCTGACCGCATGCTTGCATCATTAGGCATAACGCCCAAGATCGCGCCTGCCTATGATGGCACCACCTCGTGGTTTGAGTATGAACAGTTGATTGACGACTGGTGCGACATAACAACGCTGGATGACACCAAAAGAGGTCCGTCTCTCAAGACGAGGCTCTCCGGATTGGCCGCAGTACAAAAAAGAATCACTTAACCGAGAAAGGCTTGCAGCCCCAGATGGAGTAGATTACTTCAAGAAGAAGATGCGTCCATTTTTCGTGAAAGGAGAACAGTACGTTTTCCTGTGGCGTTTCCTCGGCCTATTCAAGGCATGGACGGGCAACCAAGACTTTGTGACTTGGATTGCTAAGTTTGAGATCGTGCTACAGCGCGTGAAAAACTCATGGATGGATCTCTTACCAGAGATAGCTCTGGAAGATGCCCATCAAGATTTCATGCAAGCTGTGCAGGCAGACCGAACCTTCCTGGGCCTACAGGAAGCAGCCGAGAGAGACACATACGCCGCACGCTATTTCGAAACATGGAACAAGGAACGCCTTGACAATCATCGAAGAGCGTTTCCTCTAAATGATAATCTCCTAGCTCTCCTATTCCTAGTGCAGTCCGACCTAAATGAGATGCAACGTGAGAGGTTGGTAACAGCATTGACCAACCAAGGTCACCGAATTGAGACCTACACGTACCCTGTGGTACGGCAGACCATGTTCGATCAGTTCTCAACGACCAGAACTGGGCTGCAGGATCCCAACATTCGGCACTCTTCTCACAAGAAGGACCGCCATGGAAGGAGAGACCAACGCCGCAAACGCGGAGGTCGAAACTTCCTCATCCTCGATCAGGGTGAATACGACGGAGTCGATGGACTCTGGCTCCAAGACGAAGACACCCTTGAGGAAGGCTTTCTTGCCGCCGAGGATGAAGAAGCTGTCTTCTGGACAGTTGACGACCATGAAGCCTTCGTTGCAAGGAGATTCAAAAAGGGAAGAAGACCAAGAATGCGTCCCGGATAACCGGGAAGAGCAAAGGGTGGCAAGCGAAAAGGACGTGGCCGTTTTAGGTCATACCGCGGAAAAGGGAGAGCCAACCAGGCAGAACATGATCCAACTGATTCCAGCTATTTCGGTAAAGGCAAAGGAAAGGAAAAAGGGAAAGGTGGAAAAGGCAAAGGAAAAGGAAAGGACAAAGGAGATAAAGGAAGCTCCTTCAAAGGTGCAAAAGCAAAAGGCAAAGGTAAGGATACAGCTAAGTCTGCATCCTTACAAGGAGACCAAACTGGATCTCCACAGGCCTATGAGAGTTCCACCGCACCGAGCTGGGATTCATGGTATGAGGACAGTTATTATACTGACTCCAGTTGGAATTATGACGCTTATGACGATCAAACGTCTTATACATACTATGCATCACAAGCCTCACGAAGAAAAACACGGAGAAAGAAGAGAAGAAATCAAGCAGGATCATCAGGTAGAGGCACAGATCCGAGCGCGCACCACGAACCCGTGTTCAACTCATCAGTGAGTTACGTGCCCCAGGTCTTTGAACCATCCGAGGGGCAAGGTGTTGAAACTGCAACAGCGGTGTTTCCGTTGCAGCACACCGTCCTATCTGCTCTCACAGAGCGGATCAATCTTGATAAGAACCCTACCTTTGTCATACTTGACTCAGGTTGTACTAGGGCTATGGGTTCCCGCTATGCGGTGAAAAGGCTTATCAAGGCCGTGAAGCAACGTGCCCCAGGCATGATTGATTTCACTTTCTCACCTTCGAACACGAAGTTCTCTTTCGCAGATAGTGAAACAGCTCTTATCAAGGAGCGTGTAACTCTATGGTTCAACACAACTCCAAGAAGAGATACAACCATAGAAGTTCTGGATCAAGGGAGAGGTCCCATTTTGTTCTCCATTGAACAGATGAGGAATCTAAGAATGACCCTCGAGTGTAGTCCCACAGCTGACCTAGCAACGTGTGAAGCTTTCGGTTTGTATAAAACCCCTCTTCCGATTAGTACCAATAACCATTTGGTATTGGACCTTCTAGGCTTCACTTCCACTAGGAAGTATCTCCCTAAGTCAGGTACGTCGTTCAGTGCGACGGAGGCTGCTCTAGGAGCCAAGAAGCCTTATACTAGGATACCGGAAGGTCGCTGTCCAGCCTGTGCCGGACAGAAAAGGGCTCACACGTACCTCAAGGGTTGCGACAAAGCACCTGAGGGAGCAGCTGATCCACCACCGAAGAGGATTTCAGGTAAAAAGAAGCCTCTTTCATCTGATCCGGCAGAATCATCTGCCAAGAAACTTGATCCACCAGAACCATCTGGTGATGCTCCTGAGCCTTCCGGACCATCGGAACCATCATCAGGCTCTAGGGACAAACCTGTAGAATCCTCTGCACCACATGAACCTCCAGAAGAAGAAAGACTTGAGGTCCCACCTGCGAAGATAAAGACTCCAAAGGGTCTTAAAAACCTTCTGAAGAAATCCCGCAAATATGCGGTTAAACCTCCTGTTGAAGAGAAGTATAAGGTCCCAGGAGCTGATGACGGGACGGAGGTAAGACCACTTGAGTCAAGAGAATACCCGGCTCCTGGTACAGACTCACCTACAGGTGAAGAGATTGTCGCGGAACCATCGCCATCTCTTCCCATTGCTCTTCGCAGGATTCATGAGAAGCTTAAGGACCCTGTAGAGCAAGCAACGACCAGAAGTAAGTTCGCTGTTCTGATTTGCCTAAATTCACACATTTCAGTTTACCACTTCGCCACCTCACACATTCACCACTTTACCACATAATTCCTAGTTTACCACTTCCTCACCTCCACCATTCACCACTTTACCACATAATTCCAGTTTACCACATCGTCACCTCCACCAATAACCACTTTACCACAAATCATCTATTTACCACCTATCCACCTTAAGCAATCCCCCTAAAACCCAAACTACCAAAGAACTCCCCGATGAATAAATTATGAACCTACTTGTGGGGTGCTGTTAGAAAACATCCCCCCAGAGCAATGCTGTGGTCGGTAGGTAGAAAACCCCCAAAAGCAACTTTCCGCATCTTGGCAAAACTCGCGACATCGGCGACATTATCTTCAAGTGGTGCGCCTTGCACGATTGAGGGTTTGGGCAGTGCTGTTGTGCATCAGTCTGCGTGCGGGCAAGAGTTGTGCATCAGCAGGAAGCAAGGCAAACATCCGATTTTGTGAGGTTCAAGTATCCAGTCGTGTCCTTTTGCCTCCCTTTACTTGCTTGTAGGTTGTAGTGGCAATGCCTCATACTACTTCCTTTGTGTTCGTGAAGTTTGGAGAAGAGCCGGTGCGTGTCATCCTCACCCACACACCGGGGATGCTTTTGGTCAATGAAGGCATGCCTCTTCTTGACATGCGAAACAACCCCGATGGGATGGAGCAGGCTCTTCTTGCCTTGACAGTCCCGCAGTTGAGGGACTTTGTGGATGACTACCATTTGAGTGGCATTTCCATGCGTGGCAAGACGTCAAAGCAAGACATTGTCAGGCAAATCCTTGCGCGTTGGGACGAGGTCATGGCAAAGGTTGAGGCAATGGTGCCCGATTTTCGTGAGAATGTCCGTGCCATGACCAACCAAGCACAGGCATCCACAGCAGGTGCAGACGTGCGCCCCTTCTCCGGAGTTCCTCATCGCTTGGATGGGGGATACAATGCCTCTGACGCCGAGGAGACAAAGGAGGAAACCCCAGTGATGCGCCTTGTCGTTCGCCCTGAGGAAGGTTCCAGTGAAGGCGCGATTGTCGTGCTTGTTTTTGAGGGCGACACCTCTACGACTATCATTGAGCAGATGGTGCCGGTCATCCTCAAACGAAGCACTACACAGACGAACGACACCGCCCCCGACTGCACCACACTTGCCATGATGTTGAAGTTCGTGAAGGTTCGGGACAACACCATGCTTGACTCCACGACACCCATTCAGACTTACTTTGACAGTGAGTGGGGCGAAGTGCGACTCGTCAAGCGCACCACCACAGAAGACCACGACCTCATCAGTGAGCAGTTTTGGACAAGTGGGCATCTCTGGGCAAAGACATCAGGCAAAGACGACAGTCACGCGAAGATGGAGGACGGTGTGGTCTTGAAGGCAAAGAGCGAAAGCACCAAAGGTTGCCTGACAGTGAAAGTGGGCGACAGCATCCGGCTTTACTTCAACTACGAGCCCGCCGACCGCATCAAGGACGTGCTTGAAAGTATGGAGACCAAGTTTGGCTTGAAGGTGTCGCGCGCCGAGGGGGCGTTCAAGTTGAAGTATCTTGCTACCGGCTCATTCTTTGAGGATTGGGAGCCCGTTCATGCAACGGTCGCTGAGGACGAGGACGGTGGCCGTGCTGAGTTGGTGGTGTCCCTCCGCGGAGGGGGGAAGACTGTCAAGAAGACGAACTTGAAGAAATCCCTTGTTGCCGAAATGAAGGAGAACCTCCAAGAACAGGCGCGCACTGCGGATGTCAGCATGATTGACACAGTGGGTGAGACAGTCGCCACTGCAAAGCATGACCTTACCGCCTTGTTCGCAAGTGCTGATGCTGACCCCCGTGCTGTGTTGAGCAAGTTGATTGGGAACGCCTCCGTAGAGGTTTTGGGCAACAGCAAGGGCACGAGCCCTTTGTTGGAGATGCTTGGCAAAGGGCGTCGCGACACTCGCTTGAACGATGTGGGCAACGCTGTCATGAAGGCAAATTTCGCTCGCCTTTACGACCTCCATGCGGAGGTTGATGGTCTCACCGAAACATGTGAGCTGACGTGGGATGTGATTGTCAATCAGGCTTTCATGAAAGATGATGGCTCTTTTGACTTCTCAGGCCTTCGTCGCCTGATTGAGGACGCCATTGTCATCAAGGCATCCCGTGGAAACTGAACCACATAGGCACGAGCACAAGAGGTTCTCAAACCGACTACAAGAGGTTCTCAAACCGACTACAAGAGGTTCTCAAACCGACTACAAGAGGTTCTCAAACCGACTACAAGAGGTTCTCAAACCGACTACAAGAGGTGTTTGTAGTCTTAATTATATATAAAAATGTAGCAGAACCATTTGTGCTGATGCTCGTTGCAGATTGCTCCGGCATTCCCTTTGCGCATTGACTTTGAGCGCAACAGGTGAGGTGGAGCATGGACGAGGGTGTGGAGGGAACTGAAAAAGACAGTGAGCGCAACATGCCAGCAGATTTGAGACCAGTTTTGCCAGTGTAGTGTCCAGCACAGCCTTTTCAGTCCTAAACCTTATTAAGGCCCCAAAAAACGCGACTTTGAACGTGGCAGGTGGAGGAGTTCATCAACGGCACCGTCTTCAACAAGTTCGTGGCACCGGTGCGCCCCGCTGGGTTTTTAGGTTTTAGTTTCGGGTTAGGGTTTTTAGTTTAGGTTTTAGTTTCGGGTTAGGGTTTTTAGTTTAGGTTTTAGGGTTGCGGTTGTTGCAAACAACCATCTCAGAACTGGAAGCAAACAAGGGGAAAACACGACTGTTTAACAGTCCAAGCATTGCGATGGCATCAGAGGTGTTGCGCACCCTAAACCCATAAACCCTAAAACTCAAAACCTTAAAGAAAGATGAGAGGAGAGAAGAAAGACATTTTGGCTCAAATGGCTCAAACACATAATAAATATAATATACCAATATATTATATCTATCATTTTTACACCTTTAACAATTGTTCCATAAGTTCTTTATGTTTTGGGGTTCTTTTATGCGACGCAAAATTCCGCCTTGAAACCCAACACCCACATTCACATTGTTTTTTCTCTTTGAGTTTGGCGATTACTTGCTCCTTGTTCTCTTCTCTGTATTGTCTATCAACAGCGTTTTTGTATTCCTTGTTTTGCTGTCTCCACTGCTTACATTTTGCCCTTTGATGCTCAGCAGTTTCCCAATAATATTCCTTTTTTGTTCTTCCTATATGGGTTCTATTGACACACGTTTCGCTTCTTATATAATGCCCTTCTCTTGCTTCAAGTTCCGCTCGCGAATTACACGGGTAGAGTTCCAGCAACTCTATTTTACAATTGTCCAGTCCAAACTCTTCAAACAACCCAAACGAGGTTGTGTATGGGTATTTGCTATTCAAATATAATTTGTATTTCACCCTGTGCTTTGCCATTCGTTGCGAAAGTTCTTCAATAGTGCTTCCAATATAGCACTTTTTGTAGTTGTTGTCCCATATTTTGTAGATTTTACCTTTCTGATAATCTGGCATTTACTACTGATATTTAATGCTCTTTATCTTTATATGTCTTTTCCTTGTTCCTGCTCATACTTTCAGCAACTCGTGGCGCAAATAACCTCTTGTATCATTATCTAAATAATAATATTTTTGACCTAATTTTTTCTCTATTTTAGTGACCGTTTGTTTATTCTTCAACCAATGTGAAGTTTTCTCTTTTTCGCTAATGCCTTTTTTACGCATAACCTTAACCTCATCATTAACACTCAGTTCTGGATACATACGTGTTCGTTTAGCATTTAAATTAATATGTAATTTAACGGCGAATTCATTTTTAGGGAGTTTTGCTTGGGATGGCGTAAATCCCGTTGCTGAACTCACCATTTTATTATTATATGTTAATAATATCTCTAAATTATAATCTATCCACTGTATATTCTCCTTACCTTTCTTTTCGTCCGCCTCAACTCGCTTAAATAACATATCTTTGTATGTTCTGATAAACCTCTCAGCAAATGCTGGGTGCCCTCTCGTTCTGTGCATTTCTATTTTCTCTTGTTCTAAATACTCTATAATTGTCTTACTATATAAACTACCCTCTTCATCACTGTAAAACATCTTCGGTTTATCACCCATTTTTTGTAGTCCTTCCATTATTCCTGCCAATACATCAGGCGGTTCTTTACTCTTAATAGGTATTACAGTAGCATACTTACTAAAAATATCAATTAAGACTAAACCTATTCTAAATTTTTGATTTTCCAAATCATTTTTACTTATAAAAAACAAATCCAACTGATACTCCCAATGCGCGTGAGGTGCTACAAATGAATTGTCACCTCTGGGTTTTCGCTTTTCCTCAACGTTTTTCTTAAAAAACTCTTCCACATCATCCTTTGTAATACTGGCATCCTTCTTTTTAGCATCTTGTAGAGTAGTTGCCCTACTCCCGAAACCGGAGCGGTCAAAATAAATACTGCGTATAATATCTTGTTTAGAACTCATTATAATATATATTATATATTAGTTTAATGAGCACTACAATTACAATACAAACACCACGCAACACAATTATCCACACTGTGGCATAACTCATTATCAACACGCTGGGCAGTAAAGTTAGAACATAATTTACCCTTTTTAGTGCTAAATTCAAATTTCACACCGCATTTTTGACAATTGCCCTGCATTCGTTTTAAACACCACATCGTATCAATATACATATCATCATTTATTTCCCTGTCTTTTTGCCTATCCTGTTGTTTGTATCCTTCTACTTTATTTTCAAAATAATCCATTATCATTTTCTTATCCATATCCTTTTCAAAGGCATCACTCTCAAAAAACAACACTTTATTAAAATCATCACAGCGTGTGATAGAGCACCACAACCATTCTCTACTAACTAATGGCATCTGCCACTCGTGTATTGTTATTGTATCTTTTATTGTAGCACCCTGTGCCGAATGGCAGGTGATACAGTAGTTGTATCTAAAATGCTTCTCTATGGTTTCTCTATCTACTGTGCATTGTTCTAAACTCTTTATGTTTTCCAGTAGATACATACCTTTTTCAGTGCCTTTGATTTTATACCTAAAATTCACATTTAACCTTTTACTTCCTAACTTCTTATATAACCTGCACACTAACACTTCACCTATTTCATAATCTGTTGTTTTACCTAACCTTTGTCTAACCGTTTTTGAAACATCCATACACCTCTTGTTGGTATATGCTATGTTGTATGTGGATGCCATTACATCGGCAGTTGTTTTAAAATACTTCCGCACTAACTCCTTTAAAGGCAGTGTTTTCACCCACCAGTCCTCAAACATATTATTTATTATGGTTCGGTTCTCCTCGTCTTTTACTCGCTTGCATATTTCTAAGTAGATGTTATACTTAAATATTATATCTAAACATTGGTTGGCATATGCATCTTTGTTTTGGCAGTTGGTTAAGTCCTCTATTGGCGGGAGTTGCTTGTCATCACCGGTTGCTATGATAATTTTGTTTGTGTTTTGCTGGGTAAATAACCTGATTTTATTTAAGATGTAGGCGTTTGCCATATACACTTCGTCAAAGCAAATAATGTGATACGCACTGTGGTCAAATATCGGCAGTTCTTCGCCCTTTTCCATAGGAATGCTAAAGAATTTGTTTAAAGTTATGGCATCGCATCCTTTTTCTTGTGACAGTTGGTTCGTGGGCACGACGAATAACACATTATAACCTAATTTCTTAAAATATTCACATATATAACTTTTACCACTACCTGCAAAACGAGCGCGTATCATTACAGGGTTGTGTTCCACGATTTGTTGGCATATCTCAGGCGTGTTCCATTCATCCTTTATATGTATTTTTTCATTTACCTGTTTCGGTATATCAATCAATCTATTAAAAATTATTTTTCGGTTCTCCTCGGGCAACCTGATTACCTTATCCTGTTCTGCTCTCCATTCGCCGATTACATCCCCAAATTTGAGTATTTCCTTTGCCTTGTTTAAGTCCGAAGTTTTAATGGTCATAGCATCTGCTTTTACACTATATACCTCCACACCATTGACATTTAAAAGACTGTATGCTTCAAACATTCTATAATTATGGTCTTGCAGTAGCATTTCCTTGATATACCTAAACCCATTGCTTAAAGTCCTCTCGTCTGACACGTTTAAGATATAATATTTTGAAACATATTTCGTGCAATCCTCCTGTATATGTATCTGACCATCTACCACCGCAAACCTTTCCAAAACACCGTCACCAGTCATAAAAAAGTCATCTTCAAAATCCCACTCTGTTATACTGCCTTTAATTTCATCAGTTAAGGGTGTGTATGTATAATCGTCCTGTGCCTCGTCTATTGCATACACTCGCCCCCCATACAATTTTTGATAATACATTGCCTCGTCCAGTGTTTCAAACATCCTGCTCCTTTGTGCCTTGTTGCGCGACTTCTCCAACAGTCCGAAGTTTATATTGGCAATTAACTTTTTTATTTGTTTGTTTTGATGCTGGTTCTTGCTGATGTTGGTCTCCCACAGGTCATCAACGATTTTTTTGTAATCTACCTTGTGTATGTGCGAAGGTTGTTTGAAATACAGTATTTTTGGTTTAATACCTCGTGCCATTATTTTTTTAAGATACTTGCCGTAAATGAGGTTGTGTTTCTTATTAAAATACATATTTGAACCCACATTCTCCACCATAAACAGGGTTAGTGATGGCAGTGTGTTTATGTCTTCGTTTTTATACGGTTTCCATATATCAAACTGCCTAAACACTGGTATTTTAACTATGCTGGTAAATGCTTTTGTGAATGCTTTGTTTAAGTCTATTTCTGTGAGTTTCTCACCGTCGTTTTTGCTCAGCACCCCTGTTGGAACAACGGTTCTACATTCGTCCAGCACCTGCACATCAATCTCGCTATAATACGACTTATGTGCTGAGTTAAATATCTTCTTATTCATTGCGAACATTGCCTTACTGGTTCTGTTATGCACCCTCTCACTTGATACGACCACGTCCTCATCAATCCTGTTGTTATTCATATTTTGTGATTTTATTGTGTAGTTTATGGTTTTATCTAATTTTTTGTATTTCCACCTCACCTTCAGTTCCGAAATAGTCCCTGCTTGGTATTTCACGAAGGGTTCGTATCCCGACTGCTTGAAGTTGTGTAGCAGTTTTGGTA